ACATAATTTTCCTTAATATTTTCAGGTTGTTTACATCTTTTACAGCTATTTGGTTTCACATCCACATCCACTTGGACTCATCTTCCCAGCAGCTGTGTTTTTTAACAGTAAAATCCTTCTCTGTGGTCTTTTGGAGTGGTTTTCTGTACATTTTCTGGGTCTTAACAAACAGTTTTAATCACATTTTGTCGCTCATATTTGAGATTGTTTCCATTAAATACTTTCTCACATTAAGCATCTGTTTCTGGGTTTTTGTGTCCAAATTCAGAGGTTTGAAGCCTTTTCTTTATAAATGTGCAGCCTTTTGTGGATCTGTTTTGTCTAGGATTTGTTTTTGTCTATTCACAGTCATTCTGTCTTTTCCACAAAACGGCTTTGAAATGTGTTTGTCACCATTTTATATTCAATATTTTCTTCATGTTTTGCGTCTGTAAATGTTTTTAGTCATTCTGAATTGTTTTTCATTATTTTGGGGTTGTTTTAAATTTGTGATCAGCAACTTACGACCTTAATGATCACATTTCTTTTATCTATACAACCTGTTTTTAGGTTTTTGTCCAATTGTTCCATCAGGTTTCAGTAATTTAGCATCTATATGGAGCCTCATTTTCATCCAATATTAGCACCTTTCTCCTTTAGGTCTCTTCAGGATTTCTCAACGCTGCTTTTCCCCGTTTGAGACCATCTTAGGTGGGTTTTTTCTGGTAAAATCCTCTTTTACCTGCTGGCTCTCCTTTGGCCCTATAGCCTGAACCCAACTCAGGGTTGTCTGGACCCGGTGAGACCCCCTCAGACCCGCTCAGACCTGGTCAGACCCCCTCAGACCCGGTGAGACCCGCTCAGACCCGCTCAGACCCGGTGAGACCTGGTCAGACCCAGTCAGACCCGTTCAGACCCACACAGACCCACACAGACCTGGTCAGACCCGGCCAGACCCGGTGAGACCCGGCCAGACCCGGTGAGACCCGGCCAGACCCCCACAGACCCCCTCAGACCCGCTCAGACCCGGTGAGATAAGTTTTTAGTCTATTCACAGTCATTCTGCAGCTTTTCTTCATCAAAACGCTGGCTTTGAAATGTGTTTGTCACCATTTTATGTTCAATATTTTCTTCATGTTTTGCGTCTGTAAATGTTTTTAGTCACACTGAATTGTTTTTACATTATTTTGGGATTGTTTTAAATTTGTTATCAGCAACTTACGACCTTAATGATTACATTTCTTGCATCTATACAACCTGTTTTTAGGTTTTTGTCCAAATGTTCCATCAGGTTTCAGTAATTTAGCATCTATATGGAGCCTCATTTTCATCCAATATTAGCACCTTTCTCCTTTAGGTCTCTTTAGGATTTCTCTGCTGACTTTCTAATCAGTCAACGCTGCTTTTCTCCGTTTGAGACCATCTTAGTCTGTTTTTTTCTAGTAAAAATGTGTCATATCTGATCGGGTTTCTTTTGGATGTGAGACTTTCTGCATCATTCAGTGGTAAAAGCTTTGCTCAAACCCCTGTTGTACACATTCAGATATACCTGATAACAGCCAGTAGAAGACTACACCAACATAGATTTCTGACTTATTGCACGCTAATTTGATCAAAATCATTTAGTTTATTTTCTTCATATGTTGTTGAGGGGCCAAAGAAAGACTTCAGACAAAAAAATACTCAATATTCTTCCTAGTTTTCTTGGATCAGACTTTAAAGGGTTAAGATCCCATTCACCAAAGTTGATTATCATAACCAAATATATATTTTTTACTTATTGTACGTTAATTTGATCAAAATAATTTCTGTTTTTTTTCTTCATATGTTGTTGAGGGGCCAAAGAAAGACTTCAGACTAAAAACAAATCCAATATTCTTCCTATTTTTCTTGGATCAGGCTATTTTTCCAGCATAAGACTGGCTCTCCTTTGGCCATATGGCCTGAGCCCATCAGGGGTTTTGGACCCGGCCAGACCCGCTCAGACCCCAACAGACCCGGTGAGACCTGCTCAGACCCGCTCAGACCCGCTCAGACCCCAACAGACCCGGTGAGACCTGCTCAGACCCGCTCAGACCCGCTCAGACCCGCTCAGACCCCAACAGACCCGGTGAGACCTGCTCAGACCCGCTCAGACCCGCTCAGACCC